CCTCCGCCCCCCCCCGCCACCGTGCCCCCTCCTCCCCGTCCATCCCCCTGCCGCCCCCGCCCTCCCTTCCCCGCCCCCTCCCACCCCCCACCTCCATCTTCCAGACGTGGATCTCCCCCTCTCCTCCCGCCTCCCCCCCCCCCGCTTCCGGCCCCCGCCCGCGGCCCGTCCCGCCCCTCCCGCCCTCTCGCGGGCGACCTCCGTCGGGCTCGCCCCTGCCGAATGCGTGCCTGCCCGCGGACGGGCCCGAGGCACGGACGCAAGTGGCCAGGGGATGCGTGCTTTTGTTCCGCCCCCCCCCTCCCCTGCCCCGCGCGAGCGCAGCCGCGGGCGTGCCCTCCCCTCACGCAAGAGGGGGCAGGGCCTACTCCGCTCCGATCGGGTCCGATTCGACTTCGGTTCCGGCCGCCCCGATCCGGCCCGCTCCCATGGTCGGGGGCGGAAAAGAGGGGGGTGATGACTCCTCCTCCTCCTCCTCCTCCTCCTCCTCCTCCTCCTCCTCCTCCTCCCTCCTCCTCCTCCTCCTCCTCCTCCTCCTCCTCCTCCTCCTCCTCCTCCTCCTCCTCCTCCTCCTCCTCCTCCTCCTCCTCCTCCTCCTCCTCTCCTCCTCCTCCTCCTCCTCCTCCTCCTCCTCCTCCTCCTCCTCCTCCCTCCTCCTCCTGTGGATGACTAGGGGGGGGATCATGGCGTGGGCCATGATATCTCCCCAGATTTCATGCGCCTCGTCTTAGTTCATTACGTCCCTGGCCCCCCCGCTGGGCCGCGCACGTGCCGCCGGCCATGATTTGCACCCCCCCCTCTTGGACACCCCCCTCTTGGCCGCTCCCGACAGGGCTGGACCTAAACGCTGCTTTGCTGGACTTCGGCTGTGTTTTGCTCTTCGTTCTGGAAGGGAGGTATCGGAAAACGGGCAGAGCAAAACGAAAAGCACAACGAAAGCGAAACGACCTGCAACGTTCAGGTCCAGCCCTGCTCGATCCCCGATGCTCCGACGAGCCGCGGCGGCCCGGTGTGCCTGCCTCGGCCAGGCCGTGCCTTCTGGCGCGGCCGGCCCCACTCGCTTCCGGCTCCGTGCCGGTGTGGCCCGAGGCGGCGCGCACGTCGATTGGATCCGATGGTCCGATGCGATGCCGAGGGGCCCTGCGCAAAAGGAGCGGGTCAGACTTATGAGGGGGGTGATGACTAGGGGGGGTGTATTTCATGGCGCGGGCCATGATATGTCCCCAGACTTCATGGCGCCTCGTCTTATTTCATTACGTCCCTGGCCCCCCCGCTGGGCCGCGCACGTGCCGCCGGCCATGATTTGCACCCCCCCCTCTTGGACGCCCCCCTCTTGGCCGCTCCCGGTATGTTCAAGCAGAAGCGAATCGTCCCGGCTCGCCTATAGCCCTACCGAACAATGTCTAAGAATTTTGTGTGGTCCCCAGGAAATGTTCTCAGAGCTTTGTCTGGCTGGGGCTGTCTTGTTTCAACACATCGGGCTTATGTTCTAAGAACACTGTTCTTGTTCTTAGAACTTGTTTGGGTTTGAGAACATTTCGTGGTATAACTATAGGACTGCCGGGACGGTCAGTCCCTGCTCAATATGTCCACATCCAGTGCGTCGTGGATTTTCTTGGAAGGGGTGCCACAAGGCCGAGGCGCACTGGACATGGGCAAAAGTCGAGCCTTCTATCGGGGGCAGATTTATCCACATCCAGTGTGCCTCGGGTTTCTGGGGAAGGGAGCGAAACTCCATACTGCAGTGGATATGGACACATGAATTGCCCGCAAAAGGGCCCGATCGGGGCCATGGGGATCCAGGACGACAGCGCGCTGGCCCGCCGCGGCTCTTCGGCTCCTCCCGAGCAGCCTCTGCACGGGGCGACTTCGCGGATGGCCCGTTCGGCCCCCTTTGCTTTTAAGTCGGGCATGTCCCTCTACAGGAGGGATACTCAAACATTGTGAGAAAATTAGTCTTGGGAGGATGCATTTCCGATGTTCTTTTACTACTTTTCATTTTTGCTACAAGGAGGACAGTCCGATCGAACCCTTGCCTCGCAGGCGGCCCACGACGCTGGGCCGGTGGACGAATTGGCCGTGCTGACCGCGATGCGGGCGATGTAGATCGGGCCAGAGGGTTCCAAGAGCTATTCGGTAACAAGTTGTATCACGATACGTCGCCGTGGCGCCAGGTCCTGCTGCTCGTAGGGTCACGAAGGCTCGTGATGCCCAACGCCGCGGCCCAGAACAACGGAAAAGGTTCAAGACTCCCTCGGCGTTCCGGAGCGCTCTGGGAGGACCGCGGCGGCCGATTTTTTTTTACGTGTCTCAGAACTGCCGGATCTCAAAGATTCCGATTGGTCCCAGTCCGAATAGGAGGAGGAGGAGGAGGAGGAGGAGGAGGAGGAGGAGGAGGAGGAAGAGGAGGACGAGGAAGAAGAAACTGGCGCGCGGCCTCAAGGCGCGCCCGAAGAAGCCGCGGGGAACCGCCGCGTCTGGCCGCCGCATGTCGCTCCCCGCCTTCGTCACCAGGGCCATCCTGCAGGAGGCTCTCACTGTGAGCCAGAGGAGGGGGAGGAGGAGGAGGGGGAGGAGGAGGAGGAGGAGGAGGAGGAGAGAGGAGGAGGGAGGAGGAGGAGGAGGAGGAGGAGGAGGAGGAGGAGGAGGAGGAGGAGGAGGAGGAGGAGGAGGAGGAGGAGGAGGAGGAGGAGGAGGAGGAGGAGGAGGAGGAGGAGGAGCAGGAGGAGGAGCAGGAGTTTGAAGAGACTCGTGTCCTCTCGGGTGCCCCCTGCAGTCAGTCCCGACTGCAACACCAAGACAGCAGTCTTCACCCTGTCCTCCGCCCCCTGGCAGGGAGGATGGACGAGGGCAGCGATGGGGAGGACTGGACTGAGGCACGGGGCCTCCCGAAAACGCAGCCCCCCTCGCCCTGGTCTCTCTCTTCTCCCTCCTTTCAGGGCATGGGCAACAACTCCTACGACCAGGGCGCGCGCCGCGGATTCGCGCGCAGGGGCAGGGGCGCGTGAGGGAGAGGATGAGGCAGGAGGAGGGAGGGATGCGAGGACGTGGAAGGGGGAGACGAGATGCAAGTCGGAGAGAAGGGACGGCCAGGCGCGGGCAGGGGTGGGCGCGATCCGATCCGCGGTCAGGTTTGCATCGCGCGCCATCCGGCTCGCGCGAGGAAGGGGATGGGGGAGGAGAGGGGACGGGAGAGGGAGCGGCAACAGGATGAGCACGATCTGGGTCAGGAGCAGGGGCAGGGGCAGGGGCAGGTACATACCTCCTTCATGGGACCTTTCTCCCTCCCCCCTTCCTCCCCCTTCCCCCCTCGCCCCCCCTCCGAACTGCTCACCCCGTCCCCTATCCACCGTCCCCTTCCCCCCATCATCCACCGTCCCCCCCCGCCCGATCCACCATCCCTGCCCCCTTGTCAAGCCCAGGCCCAACCCACCCCCCTCCCCTTCGCCCTCCTCCCTTCCTCCCTCCAGGTGCTGGCTCTGCTGCGTCCCCCTGCGCCCTCCACCCGCTGTCCCTGCATCTCGGGAGGAGGGCTCGACGACCCACGAGCCGTGCCTCCCTGCGCTCCCGGTGCTGGAGGGCCAGCGGGCCAGCGGTCCGAGTACAGCGCCGGGGGGCGTCGACGGTGGCTGCCACGATCCGTGCAGAGATCGCCGCAGGATGCCGTGCACGTGCCGGGTGGGGCTGCGTTCCTCTCTTCTCTGGGAGCGGGAGGTGGACAGGCCTCCTACCACGACGCGTCGATTGAGAGGAATTGGCCCTTTTCGGCTCGCGAGGGGGCGTCGCGGCCGGTCATGTTTGCGGGCCGAGGCCCGTCGGTCTCGGTCCCAGGCCGTTTTCACCAAGGGGAGGATTACCCATCGGTCGTTGAAAGTAGGTATTTTTGGATTCCCAGATTCCAATCTACTTTGAGCGCCTTCCTACTTCAAGAGTCGAGTGCGTTTCCCTCTTCCCTCCTCTTCAGGAGGCGGGCGGAAACCCACTCTATTTCCAACGCCTTCCTACTTCATGTTTCTACCTACTTCTTCCGACCGATGGGTACCAAAGGGAGGTGTGTCCACTGCCGATGGGAGCGGGAGACGACAAGCTCGTCAGCTCCACTGCCTGCGCCTCCCGCGGCCGCCCCGGCGCTCCGCCTCTCCGTCCTGCCCCGCCTCGCGAGCGCCTGGGGCCACGCCGCAACGGCCAGCGGAGCGAGGGCCGAGGCCGCCGAGCTCAGACCACACCGCCCGCTGAGCCTGGACCGAGCGGAGTGAGGGAGCCTCGCTCCCCCCTCGCGCGATCCTCGATCCCGCTCGCTCGGCCGTCCTCGCGCCCCCTTCCTCTTCCTCCCCGTGCCCCTGCTCGTCCCTCCGCCTCCTCTCGCTGCCCCGGCCACCGCTCCCTCCTCCCTCCTCCTGCCTCGTCGTCCTGCTCCTCCCTTCCCCTCTCCCTGCTGCCAACCCTCGCCCCTCCTCCTCATCCTCCTCCTCCTCCTCCTCCTCCGCCTCCTCCTCCTCCGCCTCCTCCTCCTCCTTCTCCTCCTCCTCCTCCCTGCTCCCCGCTTCCCCCCTACCTCCGCCTCCCTCACCCTCGGCCTCACCCCCCTTACACTCATCCCGCCCTTCCCCCGACGACACGGCGACGACGACGACGACCGCAACGACGATCACGACGGCGACCACGAGCACGACCACCACCGTGATCACGACGACGAGGACGGCGACGACGCCGACGCCGCCGACGCCGACGCCGCCGCTTGCGCCAGCGCCTGCGCCGCCGCCGACGACGACGACGACGACGACGACGCCTGCGCCAGCGCCAGCGCCAGCGCCGCCGCCGCCGCCGCAGCCGACGATGACGACGACGACGACGACGACGACGACGACGACGATGACGACGACGACGATGACGAAAACGACCAGGCTTTGGCTCCAGGCTGCGGGCGGCCTCCCGCGGGGCCCCGGGGCCCCGGCGGGGCCCCCTCAGGCGGGGGGGGCCGGGGCGATGAGCGCCTATGCGGTGCTCTTCCGCATGAGCGCCGCCGGGGCCCCGGCCGCGCCTATCCGCCCCGCGGGGATCGGGGCCCCGGAGGCGGGGATGCCATGCAAGCGGGGGCGGCAAAGAGGGGGGTGATGACCAGGGGGGGGGTGGATATCATGGCGGGGGCCATGATGTTCCCCCAGATTTCGCGGCGCCTCTTCTTATTTCATTCCGTCCCTGGCCCCCCCGCTGGGCCGCGCACATGCCGCTGGTCATGATTTGCACTCCCCCGTCTCTTGGACACCCCCCTCTTGGCCGCTCCCGACCGGAGGCGGGAATGCCATGCAAGCGGGGGTCGGTCACGGCGCTGGAGCTTGCAGGATCCTGCAGGAGGGAAAAAAACACACAGACACAATGAATCGTCGATACCCAGGAGAATCTGGGAAAATATGGGAAGTGGTGGGGAAGACAAAATCCCAGAAGATGTGGGATAATTGGGGAATCCGGTTATTAGTATGTTTTTTTTATGTGTGTGTGTGTGTGTCCCAGGGCCGCTTTAACCCTGCAGAGCCAAGGTTGCACTGGCCCGCGGTTAGCAGAGGAAGAAGCGCTATAAACATAAGCGTTTGGCCTTTTGGCGCTCCGCGCAGATTTCTTGGGTTCGCGCTGGGGTCCCCCCGGCGGCGCCTCCGGCAGGGAGGGGGCCCCGCGCGGATCCAAGATCCGCGCGGGGCCCCACAGTGCGGATCGTGGATCCGCCCAAAGGGGCCCGCGCGGAGCACCAGAGTTTTCTGTGGAGGTGCAGGATCCTGCAGGACCGTGTTGGATCCTTCAGGGCCTGGTTGACCTGGGTCCCGAGAATTGGGCGGAGTTCGCCGTCTCTCGGAGGAGGGCCCATTGAGCCAACGGCGGCTCTCCCGCCCAGCCAGAATCCGCTCAAGATCGGTCCTCGGACCCCTCGTGGGGTCCTCCTGACCCATCTCGCGAGGCTGATCCAGCCGTGGTAACGAGAAGCCTCCAGAAGGCCCAGAGGGTCAGGAGATCCCCAGTCTATCAAGCAGTGGCGAGGCGTCCTGTCCGGCCTATAGGGCACCAAAGAATGCTCTACAAGAACCTGCTGTGGTCTGCGCGAGGTGTTCTTAGGACCGTTCTGGCTGAGACTGTCCTGTTTCAACACATCGGGCTCATGCTCTAAGAACACTGCTTTGTTATGCGAACATTTGGGGGTTTCTTAAAACATCGTGGTAGACCTACAGAACTCCCGGGACGGTCGGTCCCTGCCGAAGTCTAGGCCTCCTGGATGGGGTCCGAGTGGATGGGGTCGGAGGATCGCGCCGCATCGCCGATGCATCGGCGATGCATCGGCGATGCGGCTTGATGTGGACCTCGATGTTCTCCACGCTGGCGTCGGCGGTGCATCGCCGGCGTCGCCGATGCATCGGCGACGTGTCGGCGAGGGGGCGCGAGCCTCCGACCCCATCGATGAGGCCCCAGCGATGAGACCTCTGCACCGCTCGGCGGCACGCAAGAGTTATCCCCCTGGACGGAGTGACTTCTGGGTGCGGGTCCACATCGGGGGCGCCTAAGGAGGGGGGGGGGATGACAAAGGGGGGGGATCTTGTGGCGGGGGGCATGAGATCTGCCCAGGTTTCACGGCGGCTCGTCTTCTTTCAGTACGTCCCTGGCCGACACCTGGGCCGCGCATATGCTCCCAGGCATGATTTGCGTCGTCCCCCCGCTTGGACGCCCCCCTCTTGGACGCCCCCGACCACTGGTGGGGGGGGCGCCTAAGCGGCGGGGCCGCGGGGGCTGCCGAGAAGGGGCCACGTAGGGCCACCAACGGGACCCTTTGGGGCCCGAAGAGGGCACCTCTCTGCCCCCCCACCCCATTTATCGCCCTACCATGACTTCGCGCCCAAGCCCAATGGGGCCCCCCAGTTGCCGAAACTCAGAGCGTGAGTTACCTACCCCGCTTTCGCTCCCAGGCAAAACCAAGCCATACCACGCGCCTCCTCGTCAAGCGGCCTGATCAGTACAGGCTGCAATTTGGCATCGTTTGGTATCTCTTGGAAGCGGGGGTGGTCAAAAGCGAGGGAGGTTTGTTTTCCCCCTAGAAATGCGCCGAGTACGAGGCGATAGCGGCGGCTTGCGTGCTCGTGTTTGGCCCCCGAGCGGCCCCCACTGAGCCGCGCACCGAAGGTCATTCTTACCTAGGCTCGCTCTTGCGTGTAGCCGAACCGCGAGTCGAAGTTGGAAGATGGGGCACGGGGGAGGAGGACCCAGACACTCCAGGCTTCACAGATGAGCGACGCAACAAACAAGGGGTCGTCTGCGCCGACGTGGGTGCCTAAGCTGTCCGCGTAAGTTCGCGCGTAAGCGCCCTCGTCTCCGGGCCAGCGTTCCGCGCTGGCGGCCCGCGCAAGCCACCGCGTAAGGTCGCTGCGTCGTCTCGATTGAGAACCGTTTCTGATCGTCGCTCAGATGGGGTCCGAGTCGATATGGTCGGAGGATCCCGCCACATCGCCGATGCCCCAGCAATGCGACGCAACGTGGAACCCGAGTTCTTCTGCGCCGACGGCGCCGATGCGATCGGCAACTCACGAGCGGTGCGTCGCGGTCCTCCGGCCTCATCTGCCGGGACCCCGCTCGAGAGGCCACTGAGGATGGAGGATGGAGGATGGGGAAGGACGGGGGATGGAGTCGCAGGCGATGTTTCTCCCCAAACCCCCGATATGTCGGCAAAAGCTGGAGCCGCTCAGAAAAGGAGGGGAACCCTGGGATACACCCCAATGGGGCTATTCGGACGCACCCCTATCGAGGATGAACGCCCCCCAATCGTATATCCCATGGTAGAGCACCAAATTTCTGGCCCATTCGAGAATCCCCCGAAGCCTGGGGTGATTAGGGGTCGACATATCCTCTGGTACGGAGGATGGGGATGGAGGATAGCCCATTCTCCATCCCCATCGTCCACAACGGGGGTCCAGCGAAAAGGGTGTGGTGCAATAGTTTGGTGCAATAGACTTGTGGGATTGCAACAGATCTGGGATGCGCAATACATCTGGGTGCGCAAACGTCTTGCTGGGCCTTCGCGTGCAATACATGAGTTGCAATACCGTGCAGCGCAAGTTTCTTGCGCAACACATGTGCAATCCACTTGCCCCAAACCTCTGCGCCACCCCCTTCACGCTGGGCCCCCTCTTGGGGTCAGAGCATGGGGAGGGAAGCAGGGGATGGAAGGATGGAGGACGGAGGAAGGTGGACCCAGACTTAAGTCGGGCCTGTCCCCCTACAGGAGGATATTCTAGGAAAAATGCACCCAAAATAATCCAAAAATAGTCCAGGGACTATTGTTTGTATTTTTTACATTTTTTGTGTGTGTGCACCACTTTTGGGGTATTGTTTTATCTTTCGTCGAAAATCCCCCTGTAGGGGGGACACGCCCGACATAAGAGTATATTAAATTCGGGCATGTCCCTCTACAGGAGGAAAAGTCAAAACTGGTCAAAACATAGTCTGGGGCAGATCTTGATTTCCCATGTTTGACGATTGTTGATTCCTTGTTGATTAGTTGTTATGTTTGTTCCCCGAATACCCGCCTGTGGGAGGACATGCCCGATCTAAGAGTAGATCTTAACTGTCTTGGCAGGGCATCCTGGTGGACGGCACCCTCGAGTGATCTTATGATCTGGGGTGTTTGGGCCGTCGTGGGTCTCCTATTCTTTAAAGATGTTATTATGTCCTAGGTCCGACTGTAGTTGATCAGGCCACGGTTCATAGCATGAGTTTGCCATTTTCAGGTCGGTTTGTGCGATGTTCCCAGGTTGCCTAGCGACCTTTCGATTCGCGATGTTGTTGAGGCACCCGTGGATTTCGAGCGAGAGAAATCTAACTCATCAAGACGTCGGGACCTCCAAGGACTCCGTATTTCAAGCAGTGGCGAAGTGTCCTGGCTTGCCTACAGGCCCACCAAATATTAAGAACCCCTTGGGATTTGCACGAAACATGTTCTTAGGCATTTCTGACAGGGATTGCCTTGTTCCAATCATCAAGGGAGGAAACAAATCAGCCGGACCAGACAAGTGGCCTTTACTAAACGGCCCTGGGCTTTTTATAAAGAGCCCTGCCCTGTTCGATTCTTTCTTTGGCCGCGTTGACTAAACGGCTTCGCATGTCGGGTTGGTAATTAACGGGGTGGATTTTCTCGCAGGTGGATAGACCTCCTGCCCTGACACGTCATTTAAGGAATTGGCCGTTTTCGGTCCCAGGCCGTTTTCATTGAGGGGAGGTGTACTAAAGGGAGGTTTGTCCACCGCCTTCGGGGTGGATTTTCTGCCCTCCAAAATCAAGCGGCTGTATGGTCTGCGAGTCGAGTTTGTGCTCTTCGTGCGAGTCGAGTCGAGGTTTTGCCCACCGCCCGCGGGGTGGTTATTATCGGGGTGGATTTTCTGCCCTCCAGGTCAAAACCGCTGTCTGATCTGCGAGTCGTGTTTTTGTACACCTTGGGCGATGCTTAAGAAAACTTCAATTGTCGGCCAGGGTCTCTTTGATTCTTAATGTTTCAGCGTAAATCCCAAGATTGTAATAGATTTTTTGGGTTTTTTTTTGTCCAGTTCTGAGACTATGAATCTCTTAACCCATGATTTCTTAAGCACTTCGCAAGGTGTGCCCTTCGAAGGGCCTCGGCTTTTTTTTTGAGGACCCGTCGTGGTGCAGGCCCCTGGGAGATGGCGAGACGGCCGGCCCCTGCCCAGGTGTGGAACACGTTCAGACACCGGGTGCATGGCGGCGGAGGAGGAGGAGGAGGAGGAGGAGGAGGAGGAGGAGGAGAGGAGCGAATGGACGAGGAGGAGGAGGAGGACGACGACGAAGGACGAGGAGGACGAGGAGGAGGAGGAGGAGGACGACGACGAAGGACGAGGAGGACGAGGAGGAGGAGGAGGAGGAGGAGGACGACGACGACGAAGAACGATGAGGACGACGAGGAGGAGGAGGAGGAGGAGGAGCAGGACGGCGACGACGAGGAGGAGGACGAGGAGGAGGACGAGGAGGAGGAGGAGGAGGAGGAGGAGGAGAAGAAGAAGGCCTTGCTCCTTCGGCAGTCTGGCCGTCGTGCCGGTTCACGTGGAAGCTTCTCTTGTCCCCTGGTCAGCTCGTCCTGCCCGTGCTGGACAGCTTCTGCTGTTAGGGCAGTGCCACCGCATGCTCCGCATTCGTGCCGGGATCCTGCACGGAGGCAGATACGGACTCTTCTTGCTTGCCCCCCCCATGGGGGGAGCCGCCACGGAAGTCTGGCCACGCGCAGAAGGGGGTAGGGGGAGGGGGGAGGGTTTCTTAGAAGCACCCTTGCTTCTTAGAAGGCGCGGGCCTTCTTTGTAGATGTGAGGCCGGCGCCTTCTAAGAAGCAGCCTCCTTCTAAGAAGCCTTCCCCCCTCCCCCTACCCCCTCGTGCGCGCCGCCAAGAAGGGGTCGGCCTGCCTCGCTGGCCCACGTCCCGGAGCGAGGCGAGGGCAGCGCCCTGCCCAGAGGCGTGGGCCCCCGAGGCGGCTGCACGGAGCCTGCCAGCGGTGTCCTCTGGCGCGCCACGGTCGCCGCCCGGGCCCAAGGCCCCCGGCCGTCCGCCCCCCCATCGGGCACCGGTGACGATCGTGCGAGGGGGGCGGGGGGGGGGGCTGGGCCCCCCCTGGGGGAACAAAAAGTGGCATGAACATAAAAACTCGGAGGTCCGCGCGGATTTCTCGGATCGGCGCCGGGGCCCCCAGGCGGCGCCTCCGGCGCCGCCCCTGGCGCGCTCCGCGCGCCAGGGAGGGGGGTCCAGCGCCGATCTGAGAAATCCGCGCGGACCTCCGAGTTTTTATGTTTATGGCACTTTCTGTTCCCCATACCCTCGCCCAACATGTTGCTGATGGCGCGCGTACCCTAGCGTCCGCAGCGCGCCCCCGCCCCGACGTGCGTCACGCCGCCCGGCCGTCCCCGTCACCCGGGGCACACACCGGCCTCCGCTCCTCGGGCGTTGCTCAATCGGGGGGCGATGGCCTGGCATCGCTCGGAAGCGTGCACTGCTTCCTTCGGCGAGGACCATTGAGGAGCATCTTGGATCACTGCATTGTCGAAAATGCACGCACGATATCTAGAAGTACACGGGGTATGGACGTCCGAGCGATGGCGAGATGAATGGGGGGGCGGAGAAACGTACACCTTTCGTGAACCTTGGGTGCCCTGGGGTCCAAAACGGGCACGACAAATGCACGTTTCTCTCTCTCTCTCTCTTTCTCTCTCTCTCTCTCTCTTTCTCTCTCTCCCCCCCCTCCGTAGCGCCCCCCCGTGGACCAACGCCCATCCACCCCGTGGGTGACGACCGCGCTATCCAAGCATAGCCCGCATCCCCCTCTCGAGGAGGAGGAAGAGAAGGAGGAGCTGGGGAAGGAGGAGGAGGAGGAGGAGAAGAAGAAGAAGGAGGGGAGGAGGAAGGGGGGAGGGGAGGAGGAGGAGGAGGGAGGAGGAGGAGGAGGGAGAGAGGAGAGGAGGAAAGAGGAGGAGGAGGAGGAGGAGGAGGAGGAGGAGGAGGAGGAGGGGGAGGGGGAGGTGGAGAGGGAGGAGGAGGAGGAGGAGGAGGAGGAGGAGGAGGAGTAGGAGGAGGAATACCACAACAATCTCGAGGGAGCCCTCGGGCGATGGCGATAGGGTAGTCACGGGTGGGGTCCTGCCGCGAAGGGGGCCGTGCCCGAGGTTACGCACCTGCTGTGCGCGGCGTTCATTTGGCTGACGGAGGCGGGCCGGGCGTACCCCATGGAAGGTTCGTAGAGGGGGGTTTTCGGCTACACGGAAAAAAGTACCCTTCGCTAGAGGGACCTTTGGTGTGGACACAGTGGGGTCCCCAGGTAGCTGAGTGCGATGCGATGGCAGCGGCTTCGGCGCTCGGGTTTGGCGCCCCCGCGCCCCACGTCATGCCGCGATCAAAGGTCACTCTTGCCCAGGGTCACTCTTGTGTGAAGAAGGGGGTTCCTCCCAAGGTGCGGTTAGGGAACATACCCAGTTGGAGACTCACGCTCCGTTGTCGGCGATTTCCTTCTAAGCCGACCTCTGCCCCGACCCCACATGTTGCCTCGCCCTCCCGAACTCAGACGGCCAGCGACGGGCCCTGCCGGCAGCACCACCAGGAGAGGGGGAGCGAGGGGGGGGAGGAGTGGAGCAGGAAGAGTGGGGAATGAGGAGGAGGAGGACGAGGACGAGGAGGAGGAGGAGGAGGAGGAGGAGGAGGAGGAGGATGTGGAGGAGGAGGAGTAGGAGGAGTTGGAGGAGGAGGAGGAGGAGCAGAAGGGGCACCGGTGTAAACCCAAGGGTCATCAACGATGTTGGAATTAAACCTCCCTCGAAGCTCCCTCCTCACAGGCCCCAACACCGGTTCAGCTCCATTGAGGGAACTGCTTCGTTGGAAGACAACCGTTTGAAGATCCTGAAGCAGGCCAAAACATTGTTCTCGGGATTTCAACGCCACGTGTCATCCTTACTGCTGCGTCTCGACGATCCTGAATCGTGCCATAACGCCATTTGTGGGACTTCAGCACCGCGAATCAACATAACTGTTGCACCCGCATAATTCTGAATCCTTCCAAAACACCTTTTCAGGTACGCGAACCATTGGAATCCGTGAAACTATTGCAAGTTCTAGAAGCGAATGTGCGCGGCGTTAGGGCGAGAGCCGCATTTTAAAGGAACCGCCCTCAATCCGCGAAATTCTGGCAAATGTTTCAAACGAATGTGCGCGGCGCTAAGACGAGAGCCACAGTTTGAAAATGACCCGCCATCTGTGAAATGGTTGCCACGTTTTAAGCTTCAGAGTCATAAATGGTGAGGAAGTCTCAGGCGAAACGCCCAGCCCGCCCTTAAAACTGGCCTCGGGGAGCGACAGAGAACAGTTATTTATAAGATAAAGGAATGGAGGAGGAGGTGGAGGAGGGGGGCGAGGAGGAGGAGAAGGAGGAGGAGGAGGAGGAGGAGGAGGGAGGAGGAGGAGGAGGAGGAGGAGGAGGAGGGGGAGGAGGAGGAGCAGGAGGAGGTCTGGACTGGACGCAGCTCGGAAACTCTGCGTTCCGACCTTCGGAGGTGTCCAGAGAGCGATCTCCAGCTGCCGTTGTCGTGGCCCGCCGTGATCCCAGAGGTGCACGGACAGCGCTACAGGGTGGCCACCCGCTCCAGCCTCGGCGAAGCAGACCAGCGGGCGCCGTCAGCGTCAGGGAGAAGAGGAGAAGGCGGAGGAGGAGAACGAGAAGGAGGATCGGGGAAGCGCAAGACTCGAGTAAGCCGGAACTCGGGTTTGCCGACGCTTTTTGACGAGCGCGTCCTGGATTTGGGCGGTCCGATGTTAGTGGGGTGTTTGCAGCGGGAGTTCGCGTCTCAAACTTCAGGTGGGGCCCCGCCAGTTTCATGATGGCCCCGTCAGGCCAACCCGAGGCCCCCGTACACGAGTCTTACGTCTCCCCGAGGGAAGAAGAGAGGCCGAACGAGCCCGCGCTGTGGGAGGGGGGGCGAGCCTAGTCCAGTCGGACGGGCGCTGCCCTCCATGCTCGCTCCTGCGCGGGCTCCTGTGGCTCGAGGCCGGGCGTGGACTGCGTCACAAACGGGGCCCCATCCAGAGCCCATCCCGATCCTCCGATCCGAGATCGACTTCCGCCGGGGTCGAGCCTCGCCTGCGTCGGAGGGGGTCGAGCCTCGCCTCGGCGGCTGGCCGAGGGGGTCGAGGGGGGCAGGCCATCGACCTGCGCCGGGTCGAGCCTCGCCTGCAGCTGAGGGGGTCGAGCCTCTGCTCGGCGGCTCGCCAGGGGGAGACGCAAACGAGAGGGGCAGGCCTTCCCTGGATGCCACGGGGCTTCTCAGACGTCCTCGCGCACTCTGAGAAGCCCCACTCGTGGTAAGTCGGGCGTGCCCCTCTACCATAGTCTGGGGACGATGTGTTCGAGTGTTTGTTTTTGTTGCGTGTGTTTTGACTAAGGATTATTGTTCGTCCAATATCCGCCTGTTGGAGGACACGCCCGCCCTCACACTTGTGGACACGGACCAGAATCATGCGAGCTTCTCAGAACGCTGGAGGCCTTCGAAGCCCTTCGGGGAGACCGCACCCATGCGCGTCTCCCCCCCTCGTGTTGCAACTCTTATGTTCCAGCAAGGGCGAAGCGTCCTGGCTTGCCCATAGACCCACCAACGAATGTTCAAATAATTATTTTAATGGTTTGTATGATATGGTTTTCGAACATTTCGGGCTGAGACTGTCTTGGTTTGATACGTCGGCTTTCTGCTATAGGAACATGTTTTTTGTTCTGATCAAAGCACTCTCTGATTAGAAGAAAATTGCTTTGGTAGGCCTATAGAAACGCTGGGACGGTCGGTCCCTGCTCAACGCATGTCCTCGAAAGTCCGCCTTTACACTAGCGTGCGCCAGCGGATTGTAATCGATGAGAAAGGGCATATTCAGCCTCGATTAGCATCGACTGATCGTCGATTCGCGACAACTAGCAACGTCGGAGGCCTTCAGCACGCCGCGGGCCTTCTCAGCCTTCGGGAAAGCCCGCCGCCCTTTGCTGGTGACTTAATGCTCTGGCGGCCGTTCGGGACGATCGGGGCACCCCTGGACGCCTCTCGGCGAGGCGCAGCGCAGCCGCTTGAGCGCACTTTGATGCTGGAAGGCCGCCGAACGCCAACGAGCGACGCCCTGAAAAGCTCGAACCCCGAACCTCGAACCCGCCCCCCCATGCCTTCCCCCCCACCCCTGGGCGCGCCGCTAGCCGGCAGCGCAGATCGGACGGGGCTGGGACGTTGCATCGTCGGGTGACCTCGCCCGTCCCCAAAATTCGTGTCTTCTCTTGTACCCGACGCGGGCTCGTTGCGGACTCGATGCGGGTTTGGCGTGGATTCGACGCGGATTCGACACGGATCCGTCGAGGCCGACATGGATTCGACACGGATTCGACGCGGATAGGGCCGCGATGGGACAGAGGAGATCCCCCAAGTCCCAGAGCTTTCCAGGACGCTCCCAGAGCTTTCCAGGACGCCCTGAGGAGGCCGCGGCGCCCGAGGCATCCTCCAGAGCCGCCGGATCTCAGAGAATCTCGATGTAGCATCCTCACCCGATGTTGTCCTCGTCCTGGCTTCGTCTTACCATCTCCTCTTCCCCGCCCCCCCCCTCCCCCCGACGAGGGAAGGCACCCCCCGACGTATGAGGCTAACGCCGCCTCGTTTGGCGACAGCGCGCGCCGATGTACAGTATGGAATCAGGGCCGAGGGTCGAGAATCGAGGGTCGAGAATCGAGGGCCGAGGCTAGGATCGAGCACCGAGCGTCGCTGACCGAGGGCCGAGGCTCAAAGGTTTTCGAGGGTCGAAGTTCGCCGGTCGAGGGGGTCGAGGATTCGAGGACCGAGGGTCGAGGCTCGAGGTTCCAGGATCGAGGCTCGAGGCTCGAGGGTCCATACTCGAGGGCTGAGGCCCGAGGGTCGAGGTTCGAGGTCTCGGGGTCGAGGACCGACGCGCGACGACGACGACGATCACGACGACGACGACGCGCGACGACGACGACGACGCGCGACGACGACGACGACGACGACGACGACGACGACGACGACGACGACGACGACGACGACGCCGACAACGCCGACGACGACGACGACGCCGACGACGACGACGACGTCCGCCGGCGGGCCCCCCGCAGCCGCGGCACCGCTGGGGCGGCCACGCGGCGCCCGCGGCGGAGCCCCGGGGCGGAGCCCCGCCCGCGGCGCCCGAGCTGCCCGCGCGGGGGGCCCCGGCGGCCCCGGAGCTGCCCGGGCCCCAGCAGGACCGGCCACGCTCGAGTCGACGACGACGACGACGACGACGGCGACGACGGCGACGGCGACTGCGACGACGACGACGGCCTCGACGACGACGACGACGACGAGGACGACGAGGACGAGGACGACGAGGACGACGAGGACGACGAGGACGACGAGGACGACGAGGACGAGGACGACGACGACGACGAGGACGACGAGGACGAGGACGACGAGGACGACGAGGACGAGGACGACGAGGACGAGACGACGACGACGACGACGAGGACGACAACGACGAGGACGACGACGACGAGGACGACGACGGCGACGGCGACGGCGACGACGACGGCCTCGACGACGACGACGACGAGGACGACGAGGACGACGACGGCGAGGGCGACGACGACGACGAGGACGACGACGACGAGGACGAGGACGACGAGGACGACGACGTTGACGACGAGGACGAGGACAACGAGGACGACGAGGACGACGAGGACGACGACGACGACGACGATGACGACGAGGACGAGGAGGAGGACGAGGACGCGGACGAGGTCGAGGACGAGGAGGATTCTCGCATTCGCCATCAGAAGCACCATCTTCGTCTTCGTCTCTAGCTCCGCGCTCTGCGCGCCAGAAATCCGCGCGGCCCCCCCCCCCCCCCGGCGGCGCCTCCCGCGCCGCGGAGCGCCAAAACTTTTTGCTGATGTCGTTGTTTCACTCGCCGTCATGATCATCATCCTCGTCCTTGTCCTCGCCCTCCTCGTCGTCGTCATCGTCGTCGTCGTCGTCGTAGCCATCATCATCACCGCCACCACCATCACCATCACCATCACCAGCACCACAATCGCCATCACCATCGCCATCGCCATCATCATCACCATGAACATCACCATCACCGTCATCATCATCATCATCATCAGCAGCAGCAGCAGCATCAGCAGCATCAGCAGCATCATCTTCATCTTCGCCTATCACCATCACCGTCACCATCACCACCATCACTGTCACCATCCTCATCGGAGCTATCTCCCTCCTCCTCCCCGCCCCCCCCTCCTCTTGCGGCGCAAAACGGCAGGAGCGCCCGAGGCCCAGCAGGGCGCCGGCGGACGTGCGCGTGTTGAGGCGGGCGTCACGCCTGGGCGCCGCCAGTCGGGGGCGTGTGCACGGGGCGGACATGTCTGGCTGGCTTCTGGATCCCAGGACTCCGAGACCGTCGGCGGCGAGCGAGGGGGGAAGTGAGGAGGGGAAGCCTCCAAGGTCTTCGAGGTTCGAGCCTGGAGGCAGGTGTTCGGGCGTGTCCGCCGCTTTTTTGTTGGCGGCCTGCCGCCCTCGGGAGGAGGCGTTCCCGCCGCGGCGCCCCGCCGCGAGCGCTCCCCGGGGGGTGCCAGGAGCGTGCCGGGCGGCCGCCGGGGACCCGGGTGGACTATGATCCGAAAACCAAATTTCGGCGGCGAGCGACGGGGGGAAGCGAGGAGGAGAAGGCATTCTCAGAAGAAGGCGGGACCTCTCAGAAGGCGGCGGGACTTCTTGCCTGGTTTTGCGCACTGGCTCTTGAGGAACTTCGTCCACGACGTCCATGCGGACAGGATCTGAGGCCACGGCCTCTTGCGCCTTGCCCAAAAAGGGCACGGGCAGACCTGCGTGCCCGATTCTGGCGCCCTCACCCTCGCCGTCGCCCTGGCGCCTTCTGGGAGGCGTTCCGTGTCTCAGCCCTCGCCCTCGCCCTGGCGCCCTCGCCCTCGCCCTGGCGCCTTCGGGGAGGGCTTCGGGAACTTCTCGGAAGGCCGGAGGACGGCCGAGCCTTCTGAGACCCGCCCCGTCTCGCTTCCCCTCTGGGCTCGCCGCTCAAAATGGCCGACGAAAGGAATCGGGTTCGTCTGCGCCGACATTGGCGCGCAAGCCGCCCGCGTGAGTCAGATCCCTCGTTTCCAGTGTGGCGTGCCGCGCTGGCGGCCCGCGTAAACCACCGCGTAAGGCCGTTGTGCCATCTCGCGTAAAGCACGCTTCTCGTTTCGTCGCTCAAATGGGGTCCGAGTAGATAAGGTCGAAGGATCGCTCCACACCGCCGATGCATCGGCGATGCGGCTCGCTGTGGAGCCCGATTTCCTTCGCGTCGCCGACGCCGATACATCGCCGACGTCGACGGTGCATCGCCGATGCGGCGCGATCCTCCGACCCCGTCTATTCGGACCCCATTTGGGAGGCCTCTATGGATGAAGAGTTCGCTGGTTCTTTGGGTGTTTCGTCGCGCCCCTGGTCGCTTTCCAGCAGCTGCCTCGTGGAGAAGGTTGCAAGGGTGTTCAAATCGTCCGGAGCGGCCGCAAGAGGCCCCAGGTCTGATCCGGAAACCACCAGGCGTCGAAGAGAGAGTGGGGACTGGGGAATTAATAGGGGGCCCCCAAGTCCCCACCTTCAGTCAAGCAGTGGCGAAACATCCTGGCTTGCCCATACGTTTACCAAATAATGTTATAATAACATGTTGTGGCTTCCACGACCTTTTAACAGGTTTGGCCGGGATTGTTTAATTTTGACACATCGGGTCTACGTTATAAGAATATTGTTTTGGTGTTCAGAGAAATTCCGGGTTCTAAGAACATTTCGTGGTAGGCCTGTAGAAATGCTGGGACGGTCGGCCATTGCTCAATTCATGCAATGAAGATATCAACGCACGGGTTGCGGTAATCATGGCCGGGGCCGCGATATACCCCCAGGCTTCATGGCCCCCTCCTCCTTCTCCTTCCTGCAGTTAGGGCCTCGGCCCCGCTCGTCCGCGCAGATTCCCCCGGGCCATGATGCGAGAACGCTTCCTGTTGTTGACATGCAGCACGGCGATTCCGATCCAGGTGCAGCGATGAACCCATGTCGTCGACGTCCCCTGAAATCCAGCGTCGCGAAAAAGAGCGCGGGTTGTTTTTCACCCCCGGGTTTTTTCACCCCCGCACTCTTGACCTCTTGTTGCCTTGCTCGCGCGCTGCACGTCACTCGCGTGGGACACCGCAGCCTTTTTGGACACGCGTCGCCAGCTAAAAGTGGTTGATATCGGGAATGCACCAAATGCGAGATCCAGCGTCGCGGAACAAAAATAACATCGTGGGGAATCACGTCAAGCGCCAGGGACCCGATCTTCCTGCGGCAGCTCCAGGAGTCGCGACGGCGGGGTCTATGTGGGTCGTGCGGTCCAGGGCCTCCGCACTGGGTTGCAGCAGGAGGGGCTTATGTCGGGCCTGTCCCTCTACAGGAGGAATGCTCGAAAATATTCAAAACATAACCAGGGGGTTTATGTTTTGAGAATCTTATGCTTTTTGTTGAATCTGTTTGGAACATGTGTTTACTTTTCGCCCAAACTCCGCCTGTAGGGGGACATGACCAAGCTAAATATAGGCAGTGGGGCTCCGGAAGGGCTTCGATGCCCGAGACTGTTGGCCGTGCTGGTGTTCTCGGGGAGCTTCTGGGAGGCCAATCGGCGCCACGGCCAGATCTTCCTCGACAGTCAGACCGCATCCCAGAACAGGTCCGGGGTTTGAGTCTTGACATCCGAGTCCAGGTCGCCGTGAAGGAAACGGGTCCTGGAGGGCGCCTGAAGTTTTTTTTCTCGCTCGGGGCCATCGCCACGGCCCGGGGACCGTCATGATCAAGAGCTGTTCCCGCGGAGATGCCCCAGGGTTTAGCACCCGTTTCCACCAGGGCGCTTTCTTTATGGCAAAGGACGGTGACATGAAGCAAGAACACATAATCAAGTCGCGGTGGCGAGCTCAGGGGGGAAGTTATGAGGTGCGGGCCATCTTAGAAGCTCGGAAGGCCTCGGGCCTTCCCAGAAGTTCTGCCCGAAGACACAGAACACTTCTCAGAAGGCTGGAGGGCCTTTGAGAAGTCCTGCCGCCATTGAGAAGGCTTGACCCATCTACTGGACTCATTCCGATGCCTCCGATTCGATTCGATTCGATTCCGATGGCTTCCGATTCCGATTCGATTCGATTTCGGATTCCGATGTAGGCTCCGATCTCTTGATGGAGGCCTTCTGGCCTGCCGATTTCCGCCGATTCGACTCTTCCCGACTCGGCTGCCGAGTTCCCCCGATCCGATGCACAGTCAACGCGCCTAGTAAGGACGCGCGCCTTCATCTAGGATACCCTTGCGTCCTTGCCTTCGTGGCCCGTCCTTTTTTTCGTTTTCACTGGTCGCCGCCGCCCAGAAAAAATCCCAACTTCAGCCTCCAAGGGTCTTGCTTCCTTACCACGCGTCCTTCATATACGTTTTGACTGTAGTTCGATGGCCGATCCGCCTTGTCGATTCGATTCTGGGCTCCCTCCTGCCTCTGGCCTCCCCCCGTGGTGCGCCGCCGAGCATAGGGTCGGGATTTTTCCGGGGGTCTCCGAGAACCGCCGGGGAGTCCAGAGGAGGACGTCTCGGGCGCCGCAGCGGCTCTCCACAGTGCCATTAACGACGCGTTCTGAGAGCGCGTTTCTGGAGCTTCTTCTGGGCTGAGTCACCTTCTTCCAAGGGCCCCTTGTGAAGAAGAGGAGCAGCAGCTGTGAAGGGGAGTAAAGAGGAGGAGGAGGAGGAGGACGAGGAAGAGGATCGAGTTTCGAGGACCCAGGTTCTTGGACGCTTTATGAGCCCTTGCTCTACTTCTGGGGCCTCCTGGGACCTCCAGGGAGGAGGAGGAGGAGGAGGAGGAGGAGGAGGAGGAGAAGGAGGAGAAGGAGGAGACACGAGGACATGGAACATAACATCCGTTTACTTGGCTGCATGGGTGTACGTGCGAGGGGGCGAATGTGGGAGGCTTGAAGTGGTGCGTTCAGACGGTTTCCGTTTTTTGTCAAGCGTCATCCGGTTGAGGGTTCGGGCCGACCGTCCGCGTCAATTTGCGGGCAACGCTCGCACCGAATTTGGGCATCCATCAAGAGAGGATGTGGCGGTCGCGACACGGTGGCAGCACGTGAAAGAGCAGTAGCGAAGCCCTCAGGATTAAAACCGTCCGTGAGCATGCGCACGTGCACTGACGAGTGTCCGCCCGTGTCTTCGCGCGTGCATGCGCGAGTGTTGGGCGGCAAATCGTGTATGTGATGCGCTCAACAAGCAAGAACCTTGGCGATCACCTATGTATCGCACTATCCTGCGCGGACTTGCGTCGAGTATAGTTGGGCGGGGAGGCTGGGGGACGGCGGACCCTTCCCTGCTCCAACCCTCTCCCCGTCTCCGCTCGCCTCCCCCCATCCCCGTCCCCGTCCGTCGCCCCTCCACCCCGCCCCCAGTCGCCCCTCTCCCCACTCCCTGCACCACGCCCACCCCTTCTCATTTTGCCCCTGACTCCCCCCCACCCCCACACGTCGGGGAGCGGGCCCCGCCGAGATGCTTGTTTCACTTGTCGCATCTCCGCGTCACCCCAACATACTAATACGATGTGTGCGTCGCCCACCCAAGTGGCGACGCGCGCACCGAGAAATCTTATAGTAGATGCGTCATGGCGGGCGCTTTCTGACCACACCGCTCGGGAAACGATGCACCACAAGATGGACATACTATGTGTTCGGGCCGGACGCGCGCCTCCACGGAGACCATATAGTTTCAGTGTGCCCTTGTGCGCCCCAGCAGCGGTTCTCCTGCCCCTTCCGCCCTCGGGGGTGCCCCCCCCCCCCCCCCGGCGTAGGGAGATCGTGCGCACACCCGGCGCATGATTCCCCCCCCCCCTCCCGTGGAGCGTCCTGTGGGTTTTGCCGCGGCTGTATCAATGGATTCCCCCCCGAATCCCATGCTCCCCCCCTGGGATCAAATCGGGCACGGCCCTCTACAGCGCGCAGGAGGAATATGCAAGAATAGCAAAACATCAGTCTGGGGACGATGGTTCGGCGGTTACTCGATTACGTTTGGGCATTTGTTTGATGATTGTTTTCTTCCAGCATCCGCCTGTAGGAGGACATGCCCGACCGAACCCTGGCACTTCCCTCCCTAGGGGGTCACGTGCAAACCCTACCCCTACCCCCGACGAGTCATTGGCTTACGCCACACCGTCGACCCCTTGGGGCGGCAGCAATCGTCCCCCGCGTGGCCTGTCCGGACAGCCTGTGAGGCCCCTGTAGACACGTTTTGGAGCCCTTAGGACCGTCCTGCCGTTCCCCCGGGCCGTTATTATGGTTTTTGGGGGCCTTCGTGGGGCGCCCAGAGGCCGTTGTGGAGCCTTTTGGAGAGTCTTGGGGTGCCAGAGGTCGATCTTGGAGGTTTACTAGGCCGTTGTGGGCCTCGTGGAAGCCCAAGAAGCGAATATGCTGAAAATGCACATTTTCCGAAGGGAATGGGACGGTTTTTGCTTCTTGGGGCCTGCTTGGAGCGCCGCGTCTTCGCGTATGCAAACATCTTGGACGCCCATGGGGCTGTCTGGAGGCAATCTTGGGCGGTTTGGACCGAATCGTCCCCCGCGTTGGGCCGTCCAGACGGCCTTTGGGAGCCCTCTTGGCCCGTTTTGGAGCCCTCTTGGGACCGTGCTACGGCTTTCCTTGGCCGTTGCTATGGTTTCTGGAGCCTTCGGGGATCGCCCAGAAGCCGTCTTGGAGCCTTCTTGGGAGCCTCTTCGGGTGACAGCGGTCGATCTTGGAGGTCTATTGGGCCGTCGTGGGCCTCGTGGAAGCCCAAGAAGCGATCATGCTGAAAATGTACGTTTTATTTTTGCTTGTGGAGGCCTTATTGGAGCGCCCCGTGGTCGCGTTTTCAAACGTCTTGGACACCCACGGGGCCGTCTGGCGGCGATCTTGGGCGCTTTGGACCGAATCGTCCCCCGCGTGGGCCGTCCGGACAGCCTTTGGGGTCCCTCTGGGCCCGTTTGAGAGCTTTTTGGGACCGTCCTGCTGCTTTCCTGGGCCGTTCTTATGGGTTCTGGGGCTTTCGTGGATCGCCCAGACGCCGTCTTGGAGCCCTCTTGGGAGCCTCTTGGGCTGGCGAGGGTCGATCTTGGAGGCTTCTTGGGCCGTTTTGCGCCGCGTGGAAGCCGAACGGGCGAATGTGGTGAAAATGTATGTGCGTGTCCCCAGGAAAAGGGACGATTTTTGCTTCTGGAGGGCCTCTTTGGGGCGCCTCGTAATATTGTTTCAAACGTCTTGGGGACTTATGGAGCCGTGTGGAGGCAATCTTCGGCGTTTTGCGGCGATCTGTCGTCGATTCGTAGCTCTCTTGGACCGTTCCGGGAACCTTTGGAACCTGTTTGTCTCGTTTTGGGGCCTCCTGAGGCTCCAAGTGTGCGGATGATGGATTTGCCACCCCGCCCCCCCCCTCCCCCCCTCCAAACGGGCCGGAGCAGGCCCCGGGGGGAGGGCTTTGGGGAGGGGGAAGCATCTCACACGCCGTGACCCCGAGGGGTCGGCGGACTTCCGAGGGGGAGGGCGGGGTTCACTTTGCCTCAGAGAACGTGGGGGGGTAAGCTTAACTCGGGCCTGTCCCTCTACAGGGGGAATATTCAAAAATAGTCCAAAATTATCCCAGTGCGACCCTACCTAGGAGTTGGAGCCCCTAGAAAAGCAGCATTAGTAGTAACAGTAAAGCTAAGCTAAAGCGAAGCTAAAGCTAAGTTAAAACTACGCAAAAGCTACGCTAAAGCTAAGCTAAAGCTAAGCTAAAGCTAAGATAAAGCTGAACTAAAGCTAAGCAACAGCTACGCTGAACCTAAGATACAGCTAAAGCTAAGCTAAAGCTATGCTAAAACAAAGCTAAATCTAAGCTAAAGCTAAATCTAAGCTAAAGCTAAGCTAACGCTAAGCTGAAGCTAAGCTGAAGCTAAGTTAAAGCTAAGCTAAAGCTAAGCTAAATCTAAGCTGAAGCTAAGCTAAAGCTAAGCTAAAACTAAGCTAAAGCTAAGCTGAAGCTAAGCTGAAGCTAAGCTGAAGCTAAGCTAAAGCTAAGCTCAAGCTAAGCTAAAGCTAAGCTAAAGCTAAGCTGAAGCTAAGCTAAAGCTAAAGCTAAAGCTAAAACTCCCAGGGGACTGGGGGAACCGCTCCCAGGGGACTGGGGGAACCGCCCGGGGCGTGTTCCACTGCCCGGCCCTTTAAACTAAGAGGGTAAGAACCCTTCTAGGCAGAGCCTGGGTAGGGAAATAGTCTGGGGACCATTGTTTGACTATTTTTGAGCATTTGGGGCCATTTTTTGCGTATTTCTTATTTTTCGTAGAAAATCCCCCTGCAGGGGGACACGCCTGACTTAACCCTACTCCCCTCCCCCCCCCCCTCTTCCACGGGCCGCGCCCAGCAGCATGGGCCTGCGCCAGGGAGGCGCACGGCGCCGTGTCTCGGAGAGCTGGCCCCCCCCCCCTATCGCCCTTTCCTCTTCGTCCCTGCGCGCGGCTCCTCCGCAGATCCCTCCGCGCGCTCCCGCCTGGCCCCCCCGCGCGCACATCCCTTCGCGCGCCCCTCCCTCCTCCTCCTCCTCCTCCTCCTCCTCCTCCTCTTCTTTCGTATGAGCATCGTTATTCTGAATCATAGTACTCATTAGGATGAATCACAACGATTCCGACTTTCCGTATCACTCTGGGCAGCAGTAATTATTGGTTGCTGTTTTCGCTATCATTGGGAACTGCCTTCCTCTCGTTCGCTGCTCCTCCTTTCGTTCTCTGCTCCTCGTCCTGTCTGGCCGCATCCACGCCCACATCTGTCCGCGAAGCTGCCGCCAGGCGGAAGCTCTTGGCCGCGGAGCAGCAGGTCGCTTGCGGGTACGCCGTGGCCGCGTACCTCGCGCTGGA